TTTTTGCTGCTGTATTTGAGTTCCAAGAATGATGTCCTTCTCCAGAGACTGGTCCCTCCTGATAATGTGTCCAAAGTATGAGAGATGAAGTCTGGCCATCCTGGCTTCTAACGAGCATTCTGGCTGTACTTCTTCCAACCAGATTTGTTTGTTCTTTTGGCAGTCCAACACCATAACTCAAATACATCAATTCTTCTATGGTCTTCCTTATTCATTGTCCAACTTTCACATGTATATGAGGCTATTGAAAATGCCATGGCTTGTGTCAGGCACACCTTAGTCCTCAAACTGACATCTTTGCTCTTCAACACTTTAAAGAGGTCTTGTGCAGCATTTGATTTCTTGACTGCTACTTCTATGAGTGCTGATGGTTGGTCTGAGCAAAATTAAGTTTTGACAAGTGCAATCTTTTCTCCATTTATATTGTTGTTAGGTGCCATCGAGTCAGTACCGACACATAGTGACCTTATGCACAACAGAACAAAACACTGCCCGGTCCTGGGCCAACCTCACAATTGTTGCCACCCTTGAGTCCATCGATGCTGCCACTTGGCCAATTCATCTTGTTGGGGGTCTTCCTCTTTTTCTCTGACCTCCACCTTACCAAACATGATATCCTTCTCCAGTGACTGCTCCCTCCTGACAATATGTCTAAAGTATAAGAGACGAAGTTTGTATAGATACTATTTATTGGTCCTGGATTTTTGTTTTCTTTACACTGAGGTGCAACCCATACCAAAGGCTGTGGTCTTTGATCTTCATCAGTAAATATTTTCAGTCCTCCACACTTTCAACAATCAAGGTTGTATCGTCTTCACATCGCAGGTCATTAATGAGTTTTTCCAATCCTGATGCCACATGCTACGTTCTTCTTCATATAATCCAGTTTCTCAGATTATTTGATTAGCATTTAGATTGAATAAGTATGGTGCATGAATATAGCCCTGACACACACCTTTCCTAATTTTAAACTATTCAGTGTTCCCTTGTTCTGTTTGAACAACTGCCTCTTGGTCTATGTACAGGTTCCTCATGAGCACAATTAAGTGTTCTGGAATACTCATGCTCTGCAATGTTGTCCATAGTTTGTCAGGATCCATACAATCAAAAGCTTTTGCATAGTCAATAAAACACAAATAAGCATCTTTCTGTTATTCTCTGCTTTCAGCCAAGATCCATCTAATGTCAGCAATGAGATCCCTCATCTCAATTCCTCTTCTGAATCTGGCTCTACCTCTGGCAGTTCCCTGTCAATGTACATCTGCAGCTGTTTTTTTAAAATGGCAAAGATAAAAACTAAGACTCCTTATAACAAACGAAGACACCCAAATATGGCGGCAGTTGATGATGAAGTGTTCCCTTTCAAAACATTCCCCCAACAGCCAATGCAGCACGAATTCCTGCAGGGGATTGGAAGAAATGGCAGCTGAAGGCACCTGCTTCCTCTTGTAATGCCTGACTGCTTTTACAAGGGTTTCCTCAAGGACACCTCAAGGAGGTCAGTCCTGTTGGCAGGAAGCAATTAGGGCAAAGGAAGAAAGCTAACCTGGCCTCAGGCAACCATAAACCCAAGAAGGTGGCTCAGTAGCCTGAGAACTTGGGGCTGCTATTCCCAGCTGAAGCTACACTGCGGGGGATGGGAAGTCCGGCCCCCTGCCTGCTTTGGGGCACACAAGTCCTAGGCTGCCACCACTTTAAAACTCCCCACGCTCTCCTGATCTGGTTGGTTCGCTTCTTGCCACCAGTCTTACCCTCCACACTAGTCTAGCTGTTGCTAAGAAAGCAGAGTGATGTTCCTAAAGCACAAATCTGACCACATCAGTTCTTCAAAGTCCCCACTCTTCCCTCAGCATGACAGTCAACTCCTTAAATGCTCTTTAAGGATCTGCATGGTCTGCTGAACTCAAAAGCAACTCTTACCCTGACTCTCCCTTCCTGCACCTTTCTCTTGAACCACCCTGAATTGCCCCCATTCCTCTAAGGACTCCCAAGTGTTTGTGCTTATACACAAGCTGCTGTCCCTCCCTAGATCTAGCCCCTTCCCCTGTCTCAATCTTCTCCTCTGTGAAATCCTTCCAACTCTTAAAAGAAAGGGGGGGGGGGGAGCTGATGTATATTCTGCTCATTATTGTTATCAAACAACTGCTTGTCTAATTCCTCACATCAAATCAGCCAAGCACACATTTTAAAATGTTTTTAAGGAAAGATGAATAAAGGCTCAGAAAATGGTACAGCTGGGATTTGAACTTGGATCTCCTCACATCAAACCCACCGCTGATTGTGCTGCTTCAGCCACAGGCATGAAACTAAGTCAGAATGTGGAAAGAGAGGCTCTCCAGACTTCAGATGGCAAGATGGACTTCTTCCATGTTCGTTCACCTGTCACAGGGAAAATGGGCTCCCAGCTCACATCAGTGCAAATTAATAATCCCTGAGAAAAAGAGCCAATTCTCCAATCATCTTTATAAAGAAGTGCCAGAGAATGGCCTGTCTGGGGTCACATACTTATTATATCCAGGGGAATAAGGCAAACAATGCCAAAACTATTGTCATCCCGTTGATTCTGATCTACAGTGACTCTATAAGACAGAACAGAACTGTCCCATGGGGTTTACAAGACTATAATCTTTATAGAAGCAGGCTGCCACATCTTTCTTCGCCATAGCCACTGCATGGGTTAGAACTTCTGCCCTTTCAGTTAGCAGATGAATATTTAACCACTGCCACAAATGAGGTATTGCATTAGGCAAATCTGCTGCACAAGACCTTTTTAAAGTGTTGAAGAGCAAAGATGTCAGCTCGAGGACTAAGGTGTGCCTGACCCAAGCCATGGTATTTCAATGCGCTCATATGTATGCGAAAGCTGGACAGTGAATAAGGAAGACCGTAGAAGAATTGATGCATTTGAGTTATGGTGTTGGAGGAGAGTATAGAAAGTGCCATGGGCTGCCAAAAAAACAAACAGATCTGCGTTGGAAGAAGTGCAGCCAGAGTGCCCCCTGGAGGCCAGGATGGCCAAGCTTTGTCTCTCATACTTTAGACACATTGACAGGAGGGACCAGTCGCTGGAGAAGGATATCATGTTTGGTAAAGTGAAGGGTTAGAGAAAGAAAAGGAAGACCCCCCAGTGAGATGGATTGGCAAAGTGGCAGCATCAAAGGGCTCAAGCCTGGCAACACTTGTGAGGTTGGCCCAGGACCGGGCAATGTTATGCTCTGTTGTGTATAGGGTTGCTATGGGTCGGTACCAACTCGATGGCACCTAACAATGACAACAACAATGCACCAGGACTCCTTCCAGAGGAGCAGGGTCCTACAGTTAGCCTGGAAATTGGTGCTGACAGTCACCTGGAAAACCTTAGCTCTCTACTGGTTCTTGTATCCAGAGTCTCTTTCTCCATGTGGCCTTTCCAGCAGATTAATTCAGACTTCTTACAGAGCAGCTGCTCCCAAGAGGGTAATAATGGAAGCCGCAAGGTCTCAAAAGACTTAAGTTGGGAAACCACATAGTATCACTTTTGCATTTTATTAGTCAAAATAAGTCACAGGACCCACTCAAATTCAAAGGAAGGTGAAACAGACTCCATCTTTTGATGGCATAAGTATCAAAATCGCATTGCCAATGGGCAGGCAGGATGGGAATTTGGAGTCATCTCTGGAAACAATTTATGAAGCCCAGAGAAGGAAGGACAAAGCTAAATATCTTCCCCAAATTCTAAAGAAGTCCAGGTGTGATGCTGTAGGATACACACTGGATTGCTCACCTAAAGGTCAGTGGTTCACACCCACCAGCTGCTCCTTGGAAACCCTATACAGGGTTGGTATGAGACAGACTCTATGTTGCTTAACAACAATAAACAGTCCGATTCTAAAATTGTTTGGAACATCATTATTTCTCCATTCTCTCACCCAAGATTTGGCTGGTCCCTTTCAGGACGTGATAAAGGCTGGGAAAATCCCTTTATTCTGTTCCTTCTTCCCAATGAAAAGTCCTAGGGCTGAGCCTGTCATTTTTTTCTGCTGCTCCCGCTTATTTGTGCACACCTCTAGGCTGGTGCCCATCACACAGTGATGCTGCTTGTTGGCTTCCTAGCTTATGCCCTAAGGATGGGTGGTCTTTGTGCCTGCACCCTAGGGGTAACACAAGTCTCACAACTCTAGGATGGTGGTCCAAGAAGATTCTTTGGTTACAAGGTCCCCCTTCTACACTCCCTCCTTCATAACCTTCACTACCTCAGCAAAGTGGACAGGTGGTGCCTGGAAACGCCTTTCCCCTGCTGGTGATCCAGGGAGCAAGAATCCGGGGTTTACAGTTTCTGGGAATCTTTCTAGTCTGGATCTCGCAACAGGCAGAGGGAAGCCTGCTCTCACCACTGACTTCAGGGGGCCTCCGCCAATGTATGGTAGAGCTGCCTGCCAGGGCCTACCACTACGCTCCGGGATGGGCGCAGAGTCCTCCTACTGGTGGATGGAACTGTCCATCCACACGTCTTCTCTATCCACCAGCGGACTGAGCTGAGGTCAGAAAGAAGGGGGTGCTGCTTGGGGTCCCACGTCCTCTCATTACAGGGGCAGTTAGCTGTTCATTTTGCTCCTCTGTGAATCCCCAGCCTAGGAAAAAGTGGTCAGGTCTCCCTGCTCTCTGCGTGCCCTTGAACGCCTGCGAAGAACATCTTTAATCTCCAGCAGCCCTACCATTAAAGTGCTGGGGAGGCTGGGGCTCCCCATTCACTTCGGGCGACTGGCGCTAAGGGAAAACGATCTCAGCTGTTACCCAATAAGCATACAACATCAACACACCCAATCAGCCCCCCACCCCCACTCTGGCGGGCGGGGCGACCCGCACCCCGCCCTGGTGGCCCGCTCACACGCGCTCACTCTCCGCCGCTGCCCGCCCCCTTCTCACGGCCGGGACGCATCTACCTCCTCCAGCCCAGCCCCCGCGCCCCGCGCGCCCCACGTCTCCGCAGCCACCTGGCACTGGTCGCGAGCTCAGAGCCTGAGCATGGAACCCGGGGAGCACCGGGAGCCCGGGCCCGGGGCAGAGACTGCGGCTCCGCGCTGGGAGGAAGACAAGACTTTCTATGACAACCTTGCGCCCAAGAAGAAACCCAAATCGGTAAAAGCGGGGAATGGGTAAGCGGGAATGCGAGAGGAGGGACACCCCTCCGCGGAGAGGGCTGAAAAGTCCTCTGGGGAGAGATCCGTGGCGCCCCTCCGGGAGGGGGACACAGCCCTCCACACCAGAATGGCCCGGCTTTGGCTTGGGCTCCGGTTTATTTTGGGATCTCTGCTCTGGTGCTTTTATTTTTTTTCCCCCCTGGGCTCGGGTTCCAAGCCAGAATGGCCCTCCCCTTGCGCCTTGCGCCCCAGCCTGGGGCGCGCGACAGTACTTGTTGCCAAAACCAGTCAGCGGCTCCAGCTGAAGCTCTGGCAACCAGGCTCAGAGCCTCGACTCCTTGCTGGGCACTCCGTCATCTGGTCACCGGGTTCCGGACCCGAAACTCTTCTCTTGAGCTTCGGCTCAGTGCTCCACGCTCCCTAAAGGAAGGAGGCTCCATTCTGGACTCTGAGCTTCTGATTTCTGCTCCAGGGCTCCCGGCTCTCCTTCCCTAGCAAGTCAGTAGCCCCAAGGCCCCGCGTGGGGGTCTCAGACATGCAGGGACTCATAGAGTCGTCAGCGCCTTTCCCCATCGGACAGATTCGTGACGCCTGGTGTTCCCCTGGCCTTGCTCACTCCGAACCTGGGGAGAAGACTGAGGATATAGGGTGGACCCGTGACAGCCTCCAAAGATTGACCTTAAAGCATTCTGCTGCTTCCCGCCAAAGACCCCTCCCCTGGAGATCCAACCATATCGATATTCATTCCCTGTGTACCTGCAAGCCCCTGGCTCAGCAGGAGAGATGAAGAAATGAATTAGGCCGAGTCCCCGCCTGGGCAGCTCGCTGTACACTGATAAAACCCCTTGAGGCGGACATTGATCAGATACAGTGGGAGTCTAGAGGAGGAAGTGACTGGGCTAGGGAAAGCTTTGTCGAGGAGGCATTTGAGCATTGTTAAGCTTGAGTTGAAGGCATTTCCCGGGCAGAAGGAAGAAAACACAAAGGCCAAGCTATGGAAAATAAGTAGCCCCTATGGCAAGCTCTGAAATTGAGGCCCAGCCCAAATATCTAACATCTATCTGTTAGATAACTACCATAGTATCCGCTCAAAGATATGTCAAGCTCGTTAATTGTTTACTTAACACATTATAGCACTACATGAAAATTACAACTGTGCCTTCCTTGTCTTCACTGATGAAAATCAGTCTTTTTTTTCCTACACTCATCAGAGCAAGTTCACGTCATCTGCCTTTACACATGGACTGCCTTTATCCATGTAGGATCAGCACTGGACTGTGAACCACAAGGCTGGCAGTTCAAACCCACCAGCTGCTTTTCAGAAACCCTATACGGTGTCGTTATGAGTCGGAACCGACTCGTTGGCACTAACAACAACAAGCTTTTATCCATGAAGCTCTCCAATAATAAAGTATTTGTTTTAACTTGCTAAATGATCTCATAAATGGTGATAGAACCTACCTTGGTTAATAGAAACTGCTCAGTGGTTCCCCCACCTCCCTACCCCCAGCATCTATCCCTACCCCCACCTTCAAGTGGTGCCCAGGGAGCTGTGCCATACCTACCATAGCTGAGATATGCCTCTGGGGAAACAGCGGGGATAAAAGACACTGTGATGCCTTTGAAAGTGAGGACTGTGTTCTGGAATCAGGCCTGAGTGAGAGAATGCACGATTGCTGAGAGATGAGTTGGAGGGATGCCCAGTGCCATGTTAAGAAGTCTGGACCTTATTAGGTGAGGTTTGTTGTTGTTGTTGTTGTTAGATGTCATCGAGTCAGTACCGACCCATAGCGACCTTATGCACAGCAGAATGAAACACTGCCCAATCCTGGGCCAACCTCACTATTGTTGCCACTCTTAAGTCCATCGATGCTGCTACTTAGCCAATCCATCTCATTGGGGGGTCTTCCTCTTTTTCTCTGACACTCCACTTTACCAAACATGATATCTTTCTCCAGTGACTGCTCCCTCCTGACAATATGTCCAAAGTATGAGAGATGAAATTTGGACATCTTGGCCTTTAAGGAGCACTCTGGCTGCACTTCTTCCAAAACGAATCTATTGGTTCTTTTGGCAGCCCATGCACTTTCAATATTCTCCTCCAAGACCATAACTCAAAGGCATCAATTCTTCTATGGTCTTCCTTATTCACTGTTTAGGGGGCGCCCAAAACTAGGTTCAACGGAGCCCCATCTTCAGGTGTGTAAATAACCAAACAATTGGGTTATTCGCTCACCTTATAATGAATATTAATATAAGCGTCATACGTTTGTCTCTGTGAATGAAATTTATAACAATAAACTATAGGAATCCTTAGTTCACGTGTTGATGTTCCACACAATAATTCATTTAGGGGGAAAGGCCATAATGCTTAGGGGAAGTAAAAAAAAAGTATGAAAACCATTATAGAGCTACTGCAGTGGTTTTCAACAGGGGATTAACTTGGTCCTATTTTCATTTTAGAAAGATCACTGTGGGGCAATGTGGAGGATGGATTGGAGAGGATGATGGGGACACACTGTGAGAAGATTGTCCCTGCTTGAGGAGAAAGCTGGACTAATGGGTGGTTTAGGGGATGGAGAGGAGGGGAGGGGACCAGCTCTCAGAATCCATGCCCATCCCACCCTAACACTGAGGATCCTAGGACCTCAAGCCAGTCATGGTCAGTCATGGCCATGCAGGCAACCCCTTAACTTCCTGGGTTCTCTGGAAGGTAGAGGCTGAGGTTTCCAGACCCTCTACTTTTTCCTATAGTGGCCTCTCCTCCTACAGGTTATTTTTGGGGTCTTCAGGCCTCATGAGGCCCATCAGGACCTAGTCTGGATTTATTCTCATCCCCAGGGGTCCTGAATAAAATATTTAACCCTTGAATACCATAGAAGGCATTAGAAGACTTCCTCAGTCTAGAGCTAGACTTTCGTCTCCAACAGCCCTTCTTCCACTAAGTTCTAGAAATAATGGCTTTGATTCTGTTTCTATCTTGGGCACAATAGGCAGAATCATGTTGGTCTAAAGGGGGAAGCTCCCTCCCTGGTAGGGCTGGGCTGCTCTCCATCAACCTCTCTCTCCACCCCCACCCCCCATGTTCCCCAAGCCAAAGCAATCAGCCTGTAATCCAGTCCTGGTGGGAGGCAGCTGGCAGGGCCCTGGATCCCTGGAACACAGAGCTTCCAGGCAGAACTCTAGTCTGGAATAAGGATGGGCTGCTCTAACCCAATCCCCAGTCTAGAATCTGGGCTTCCTTCTGATTTTTGGAGGTGCTGTACCTAGATGTACCTGACAATACATAACAGGTGACCTCCCTCTGAGGCCAGGTCCAAGAAGGTCTCTAAGTGCTCAGGACCCTGGCTTCTCCTCTGCTCAGCCCAAACCATACTCTCTTGCAATCTATAACCCTCAGAGAGCCCATCTTGACCTCACTTAGTATTGAGGTTGGCTCCTACATACACCTTATTGAGAGTCTCCTCCCCATCCCAACCTCGGCGCTGGCTTCTTTCTCCCCAGCCCCTTTCACCTTCCTTCAGTTCTGCAGAGTCTGACCCAGCCACTCATACTGTTGTTGTTGTTGTTAAGTGCCATCGAGTCGGGTCCGACCCATAGCGACCCTGTACAGGGTTTCCGAGGGTGTAAATCTTTACAGGAGGATTCAAAAAAGTTCATGGAAAAATGAAAAAGTATGGAATTCTTTCCACAAAGTTTTTGAAGCCCTTTTGTGTGCCCAGCTAAGTCTCAAGTTTCCTCTAGTTGCTCTTGCCCCCTACGCCTCAGATTCTGCCTCATTGGACCGTGCTGGAAGCAGTCTGAGTTGCGAGGCAGGGTTCTGCCCTTGGCGCCGCCAATCTGAGGGCAGAAGGCTTCAGTCTGGGGACATGGTGCCCCTCATATTTGTGTTCCCAGGGTCTCCATATGCAGGATTTCCCTGGTTTCCCAGTTTCCTATATGGGAGGGTAAAGCTAGAGAGGAGAGAAACTGTGTCTGGTTTTTCCCAAATCTGGAAGAGTCAAACTGGAACTATAACCCTGCCCTGACTCTATCGTTTAGTGGCTGTGTTACCTTGGACAATTTATTTGACCTCCTTTAGCCTCAGTTTCTCCATCTATACGATGGGAGAGACTAACAATACCTACCTCAATATTTATATGAGTGCTTGATTACTAGCCCAAAGATTGGTGGTTCAAACCCACACCAGACAGGCCTGATGATCTCCTTCCAAAAGATCATAGCCTTGAAAGCCCTGTGGAGCACTTCTACTCTGTACACATGGGTTGGCATGAGTTAGAATCGACTCAAGAGCAATTAACAACAATCTGTTTGACACATTCAGCACAGTATATGATATACAGTAAGTATCTAATAGAAATGTCCAGGATGGTGTTCAAAATACTTAACAACTGGTACAGCATGGACCAAAACCAATCATAACTGACCACCAAGTCTTGGAACTGGTCCAGGGTCCTGTATGCAGGCCATAATGGGAAGGGTTATGTCAGAAAAGAAACTGAGGTTGCAAGGGTGTGAGTCTTCTGGGGATAACTGAGGAGGTGCTCAACCGAGAGGTTGCTGTGTGGATAGAGCCTAATCTTGATGCAGAGACTTGAAATCTCATTTTGACTCTGCCTTGACTTTGCTGTGTGAACTAGAGTAATACTCTATCCCTCTCTGGGTCTATTTACCCAGAGACTCCTGGGGCTAGGGCAGCCAGGACATTTTTCTAATAATGGCCAGAGGTGGGATGGGATGGTATCTGGGTACCCAGTTTAGCCAGAGGGTCCCGGGATTCAGCAATCTGGCAGGGACTGTGGGACAGATAGTTAAGAGCAAGACCTTGGCTGGTTGCCTGGGCTGGAGTGGCTGTCTTGGGAACCTGCTTGAGGGGACTGAGAGGGAAGTTGACTCTCTGTCCTTGAAGAGGTGATGGGTCTGTCCCTGGGGCAGTGAACTCAGGAAACAAGGCAAACTCAGTCCCTGACCTGAAGGCCTACATGGCTTCCTGGGTGTCTGAACGTAGTCTGTTCCCTTACCATCCCCAGCGATCCCTCTATCACCTCTTTTCTTTGTCTTTATTGTTGTTGTTTTAATCTTTATATTGTGAATTGAGTGAAGGTTTACAGAGCAGATCATCAGTTTTACATTTAACAAATCATACTCATCGTTTCATCTCAATGAGTGCAATTCTCTCAATGTAACATCATTTATCCCACTTCCTCTGTGTAATTCCAGTTTCCATTCCTTCTTCTTTCCCGATCTTTCTGAAGTTTGTCCTTAGGTCAGTGCTGCCCTTTTGATCTTAAATGGTTGAGCATTCCCTGTTGTGCCTACTTCATTAGCGTTGGTGTCCCCCCTATATAGCTATCTGCTGCCTGGCTGTAAATTGAGCCACAAGGACAAGTTCAATTCCAGCCCTTAAGAGTGGCCAAGGACCATAGTCTCCAGTCTCTTGCTGACCAGTAAGCCTGGTCTTTTTGATAAATTTGAATTTTGTTTCACATTTTCTCCCATTCTATCCAGTACCTTCTAATGTGGTCCTTTTCAGAAGAGTTGGTAGTGGTAGCTGGGCATCATCTAGTTCTGGTCTCAGGGTCATAGAGACTGATGTTCATGTATTCTATTATTCCACTGAACTAATTGATAACAAGTGTCTTCAACTTTCATCTTTCTTCTTTCCTCCATACAGGAAGAGAACAATAGTTGCATCTTAGCTTGCCACTCATGAAATTTAAAGATCAGTAACTACTCACAAACGTAGGATGTAGAACATTGTCGTTATGGACTATGTTATACCAATTGACCATGTATCCTCCAAGATTATGGTCCTGAACCCCCAGGCCCAGCAGCTCATTCCTTCAAGGTGTTTGGTAAAGTCCAAGATGTATCATAATTTTGCCCCTTGTGTGCTCCACCACATTCATGGATAATGTTTGTTAGTTCTGACACTACAGAATGAAATGCGGCCAGGTCCTGCTCCAACCTTATATTCATTGTTACGCTTGAGCTCATTATTTCTGCCACTGTGCCAATCCATCTTGTTGGGGGTCTTCCTCTTTTTCACTGACCCTCCACTTTCCCAAGCATGATATCCTTCTCCAAGGACTAGACCCTACTGATAATATGTCTGAAGTATGAGAGACCAAGTCTGGTCATCCGGGCTTCTAAGGAGCATTCTGGCTGTGCTTCTTCCAACACAGGTTTGTTCGTTCTTCTGGCAGTCCACGGTACTTTGAATATTCTCCTCCAACACCATAACTCAAATGCATCAATTCTTCTATGGTCTTCTTTATTCATTGTTCAACTTTCACATGCATATGAAGCTATTGAAAGTACCACGTTTGGGACAGGCACACCTTAGCCCTCAAACTGACATCTTTGCTGTTGAACACTTTAAAGAGGTTTTGTGCAGCAGATTTGCCTAATGCAATACGTAGGATATGTTTGTAGCAAAGATAAATACCCATGCATAACTACCCTCTGTCAAACCTTTGTAAATGTGTGGGTATACTCCCCCTCCCACACCCATTCAGCCTGTGTATCCATCCAGGTATCTACTCGTAGATCACTGTTACTGTCATATCACCTCATTTTCTTAGGGCTTTCAACTTTATCTTCTTTCTTTGAAGGTTCACAGTAGCCAAGAGGATTAGGAGGTATCTATTCCAAAGACACACCACAATGGTGGTCAGCAACTGTTAAAGACATTTGGGCTACATCTCAAAGGAAAGACACATGCCCGCTACTGCTGCCTTACACACACCATTACATGTACTTTACACATACCCTACTGGCCACATGCACAATCTTGGGGTTAAAAGTCAAATATAAGATGAGGTCCACTCTATGAGCTTGGAGAACTTGTTGGTCTTCCATTCCTACTTTGGAGTTGTAAAGATGCACTGTTTGATATAGTAGCCTCTATCAGTGTAGTGGTTACGAATCGGGTTGCGAACCTCATGGTCAGCAGTTTGAAACTACCAGCTGTTCCGTGGGAGAAAGATGAGGCTTTCTGCTCCCATACAGATTTATAGCCTCGGAAACCCTGTGCAGGGTCACTATGGGTCGGAACCAACTCGACGGCACTTAACAACAATAACAACAACAACATCCATATGTGGCTATTTCAATTTAAATTAATTAAATATCAGTACAATTAAAAATTCATTTCCTCGGTCTCACTAGCCAAGTGCCTCACAGACAAATGGAGCTAGTGGCTGCATCATTGGACAGCACGGATTAAAGAACATTTCCGTTATCACAGGAAGTTCTATCAGGCATTGCTCTTCTAAAGGATGACACCAATCCCAAATCTCTGTCTTGGGGATAGACCATGAAGGGAGAGGTCATTTCTACTGCATCTCCAGCACAGTGCCTGGCACTTGATTGGGGTCCAGGTTAGACCCCAGAGAGTAACAGTAGAGATGAATGCATCTCCCACAAAGCAACAAAGAACAAGCAAGAAGATGAGGTCCACTTATGAGTCTTGCCCCCTAGTTGATCGAACCCCTGCCTATCCTGCTGGGGTCATCTACACTCACCCCACAAACCCTCTCTCCTCACATTTGTGAATTCATTAGGCATGTTCCCACTTCCTCCCGCCTTCCTCCACCATACTCCCTTTTCAAGGCATCCTTTTCCATGACAACTTCTTCTGAACTCCTGTCATCCAGACTTTGCTTTCCCTTCTGTGCTAGCACTCATTTCAGTCCCACTGGCATACAAGTGACCTGTCTCTGAGCCTGTGTGCTTTGGAAGCAGGAACCGAGTGTCTACCTGGCACAGCCCAGGTGCCTGACACAAAGAACCCATGCATGTGTGTAAAATTCAAATCAACCAAAATTCTGTTCTCTAAGTAAATTGAACAGATTAGAGCACTGCACTTCAGTTTCTATTTAACATAAAATTTAGGGTTTTGATTCAGTTAGTATTGTTTCTTATTGAAATTCATCACTTGAAAGTTCAGAGATAGCCATTCATTCACTCCATAAAGAATTACTGAATACCTACAGCAAGTCAGGCACAATACTAAGTACTAGAATAATGAACCAGAGAGATACGGTTCTTGCTGCTTCAAAACTGACAGCCCAGAGAGAAAATAATTTAATAAACAATCATAATTTAGTATTACATTTTAATCCAGACTAGAGGAGGTGACATCTAGTTTGAGACCAGAGGTTAAATAGAAATTAGCTGGATAGAGTCAGGGAAAGAGTGGATCAGGCAGAGGGCACATCATATGCAAAGGCCCAGAGACAGAGAGTGAAGGCATGCTCAGGGATAGGAGAAAGTCCAAATAAGCAAAGGCAGGAAATAAGTAGGTAAGAGTGGAGAGAATAGGATTCCAGTGTGAAGAGCCTCCTGTGCCACACCAAAGGCTGCTAACCTTATTTGGAGAAAAGTGGGCACCAAAAAAGGGTTTCAAGCAAGCCTTGATCAGAGAAACCCCTGATAACAGTTAGAGGAGAGATTAGGTGGCTGATCAAGGATGATGCACTGAAAGGTAGTAGTGGAGGTAGGAAGAATTGGCTATTGTCTAACAGAATTGACGGGTTTGGGTGATTCATTGATGAGGGAAGGAAGTTGAGGATGTTATCAGGTCTTCTGGCTTGGAGTGGATGGTGGTGCTGAGTGGAGGTGACAAAGGGAGAGGGGACCAGATATGGGAAATGGAGAAGGTGGTAGAAGTTTAGTTTTGAGCATGTCAAGTATGATTGTTAGCCAACTGGGGCAGTTAGCTGATATGGCTGTAGCTCAGAAGACAGATCTGGACTGGAGATAAAGTTTCTTATATAATTGTCATGGTTTTAAACACCATGTCTTCCTGAGGGCACGTAGCTCGCATTTTACAATGGAAACCATCTGGAGGTGATCTTGAGCATCAGTCCTTCTTTGGCTATTTACAGTGTATTCATTTTTCTGTTGTGTCCAGATGACCAACTGGATTGCAAACTCCCTGAGGTCATGTCATTCCCAACAGATTATGTTCCTAGGTGGGGAGTCATCATCTCCCACAGTCCCTAGTTGGGTCCTACCCAGGGGGATCCTGATCTAAGTTTTCCCCTCCTCAAGGCTGAGCCTCTTTAAGGTAAGGAAGGGTTGGACCTGATTTTCTCCATGTCCCCAGTATCTGGAGGGGCCCACAAATGCACACCTACCTTAGGGGAGGTCTGAGCAATGGCCCTTCCCTCCATATCTCTGCAGCCCAAGCCTCAGAATGCAGTCACCATTGCTGTGTCCTCGCGAGCCTTGTTCCGAATGGATGAGGAGCAGCGGATCTACACGGAGCAGGGTGTGGAGGAGTACGTGCGCTACCAGCTGGAACACGAGAATGAGCCCTTCAGTCCTGGGCCCGCCTTCCCCTTTGTGAAGGTGAGGGGGCAGGGCCACCATTAGCCCAAACAGGGAGGAAAAAAGGGTCCCCTCCGGGCAGATGCAATGCTGCAGGTGCACCACTTAGCTAAGGGGCAACCTTTATAGATCACAGTGCACCTGTCCCATTGTGCATGGGATGGCCATGACTGGGAGGTAACACAACAGCCGCTAACAACAACAGCAATGCGAGGTAACCAGTTTGGTGAGTGGAACAACATGGGCTGGATTTTGACCCCCACTTACCTTTTTGTGTAGGAGCCATGGTGGCACTGTAGGATAACCACTGGACTACTAAAACCACAAGTCTGGCAGTTCAAACCCACCAGGTACTGTTCAGGAGAAAGATAAGGCTTTCTGATCCTGTAAAGATTTACAGCCTCAGAAACCCTATACAGGGTTGCTGTGAGTCAGAACCAACAACACAGCACACAACAACACCCTTTTGTGTGCCCTTGTGTGGTAAAACCTACACAGCAATAGAGAACAGCATAATGAGAAAGTAATCAACGTCCACTGGTCTCATCCCAAGCCTTGCCACTGACTACCTATTCTGCCTTCTCCCCCTCCCATTGCATCCCAACCCTGGCCACCAACTCAAGGTATCAATCCCTGGGGTCTGAGCCACATGTGTCCTCTCCCATCCAGGCTCTGGAAGCTGTGAACAGGAGGTTACGGGAGCTGTATCCCGATAGTGAGGACCTTTTCGATATCGTCCTCATGACCAACAACCACGCCCAAGTGGGAGTTCGTCTCATCAACAGTATCAACCACTATGGTGAGCAGGAGGGACCTGGTCATGGGACATGCCCTCTAGGGACAGGGCCACATGCTGGCTGGAACTCCAGGTCATATGTTGTATTGGCCAACTGGCTCTAGCATGAAGCAAAAACAAACAAAAAACAAAATGCCCTGATTTGTAGCGATAGTCAGGGTATAGATATTCACACACAACTGATTTTCCAGCTACCAATGGTTGAATAACCTAACTGGATCCAAAAATTTCAGAATGCTTAACATTCAACTCTTGAGAGCCAGTACAACTAACTAGGTTCCAGCACCCCACTTCACAGGCAGAGATTGGGCAGGGCACTCATGACCTCTGTGCCTCAGTTTCTCTATGTGGAATGGAGCTAACAAGTCTCACTGGGCTATTAGAAGGATCGGGTTAGATCATCAGAGTGAAAGCACTTTGTGTCTTAGTCCAAACTCGTGACTGAAAGTAACAGACATTCCAGAGCTTGTTTTAGTGAAAGAAAATAATTTGTTGTTTACAGGGGATTCGTTTAGACTACATAAGGGCTGTTGATGCAGTAGCTAAGCATTGTCTGCTTCAAACCCACCAACTGCTCTGCAGAAAATAGAAGTGGTAGCCTGCTTCCTTAAAGAGTGCAGCCTTAGAAACCCTAGGTGCCAGGCAACTTTATGAGTCCGAATGGACTTGAAGGCTGGGTCAATCAATGGGTCAGCTTAGATTACAGGGCAGGAAGTGAAAGGCCTGAGTCCACCTAAGGGAAATTATTCCAGGGGATCTTTTATTTTCTTCTTTCAATCTCTGGGTTGCATGTTGTTGCTGTTGGTAAGTGTCATCAAGTCAGTTTCAACTCATAGCGACCCTGCATAGGGTTTCCGAGGAGCAGCTGGTAGCTTTGAACTGTGGACCTTGTGATTTGCAGTCCAGTGCTGATCCTTACAGCACTTTTCTCTGCAAGTCTGATCCTTTTATTTTTCTCTCACATTCCCTGTTTGTCTCACCAAATTAGTTTTCTATAGTTTCCTGGATACAACTTGAAATGTATCTGTTTGCGAGTTGAGTTGTCAGTTTTGAATCCTAATTTTAAATTGCTGGGAAGGTGAGGGGTGACATTCAAATTATTTAACCACCTGTGTGACATCAGCGCTGAGCAATTAGAGTAGACCCCGCCTGTAGTTCTGGAGAAAGGAGCCCTGGTGACGTAGTGTGTTAAACATCGGCTGCTAACTTTTAGGTCAGTGGTTCAAACCTACCAGCTGTCTCCTCGTGTAAAGATTGCAGTCTTGGAAACCCAATGGAGTGGTTCTACTCTGTCTTAGAGGGTCGCTATGAGTCAGAATGACCCAATGGCGGTAGGTTTGGGTTGGGTTTTGGTAGTGCTGGAACAGAGTCCTGAAGGGCCTCTGCTTTGCCATGCATCTCCTTCCCAGGGTGGACAAGGGTTCTCAGGGAAGGAACTGGGAACCCTTGTCCACCCAGTGAGCTCACAGCAACTGCCAATTACTAACAGCAAATATTTTAACCACCTCAGCAGCTATGCTTATGGTTTAAACCAAACCAATTGCCATGGAATTGATTTCAACTCCTGGTGAATCAGAGTAGAACTGTGATCTATAGAGTTTTCAATGGCTACTTTTTTGGAAGTAGATTCCCAAGCCTTTCTTCCAAGGTGCCTCTAGGTGGACTCAAGCCTCGGGTCTTTTGGATAGTAGCTAAGTTCTTAACTGTTTGTGCCACCCAGGGACTTCCTGCTGATGGGTAAGTACAGAGTAGGAAAAAGAATAAGCTTGGGTCAGCTGTTTGTGCCTTATCCAATCAGCTTTGCCCACGAAAGTGGGCTCATATATCATAGTCATGACTGGATGGCCCACATCTTACATCTTACAGTACTATGATTCCCTGACAAGAGGGTGTTATAACGAGGTAGACAATTGCTCCAGAGGGATGACTTCATAGATGAAGAATGGAAGGGCTCAGAGAAGTGGAATGGCTGGTCCAAAATTCTACCACTCAGCACCAAGATGGTGCCTACTGAACAAAAGAGCTGCTCTGAAGCCCTTAAGGCTGACCATTACTTCACATGGGGATCTTCTTCCTCCTTTCCAGACCTGTTCATCGAGAGGTTCTGCATGACAGGTGGGAATAGCCCCATCTGCTACCTCAAGGCCTATCACACCAATCTGTACTTGTCAGCTGATGCGGAAAAAGTGCGGGAAGCCATTGATGAAGGTCAGTCAGGTGGGGAAGGGAGAATATGGGGCGTCTGGTGAAGAGGTCTAGAAATGGGAGTTCTGAGCAGTTGCTGGGGGTTGCCATGGTAACTGAAGACGTGGCTGTGCGGTGCTTCTAAGTCCTGAGACCTGCCCTTTACACTTTGAGAATTAGGCCCCACTTATCCTACTTTTATAGGGGCTCTGGTGACACAGTGGTCAAAGTGCTCAGCTGCTATCCAAAAAGTCAGAGCCTTAAATGCACCAGCCGCTCTGCAGGAGAAAGATGTGGCAGTCTGCTTCTGTAAAGATTTACATCCTTAGAAACCCTATGGGCAATTCGGCTCTGTCCTATATATAGGGTCACTGTGAGTTGAAATTGACTAGAAGGCAGTGGGTTTGGTTTGGGATATCCCACTCATCACCATCTTCCTGTTGTTATGGGAACCTTTCTTACTCCCTTCTAAGATTCCTCCAGGTCAGTCCAGGTGTTTTGATTCCTGTGTGACCTTGGGCAGCCTCTGAGGGATAAGCTGGGAAATGACCAGTATCTCCAGCAGTGGAGCTGGTCAGTGCTGGGGTGAGCTCAGGAGACCCAGCTTCAAATACTGACAAAGAGAATCTCCTTCTCCCCAACCATGTGTCTCTTATGGAGTCTCAGTCCTTTGCATCTGGAAGCAAACAGGCCATAGAGGAAGAAGGGACCGCCCAGCTGCCTGAGTGGGTTCCTTAGGCCAAACACTGGTGTTGGGTTTCTTTATGAACCAACAATATGTTCATTTTTCTCTTCTTCTCCCATGCTGTGTTCTGTCAGGACACCTGGCCTCATTCCCCTACTGCCTCACTGCCCTGAGCTGCTGGGGTTGAGGGAGGCTTCACAAGGCTTTTTAAAACAAGTACCAGAAAACATTTCCTACACAGATGGCCCACCCTCTGGTTGGGACCTCTGTGTGTCTGTAATTTGACTCAGACTAGAAAGTAGGGGCATGGTCAGGAGGGGGCACTGCTCAGGGTGAGCTGGTTCATCTTCACTTCAGGGATGGCAGAAAGCCCAGGGCCCGCTCCTACTTACAGCATCCTGCTGTAAGGAACTATGAGTCTACCTCTGCCTGAGCCCAGCCCCTGTGATCGTAGATTCCCCAAGAGCAGGATGGAAGTCAAGTTTGGCGAGATCAAGAATAGGGAATGGACTGAGCTAGCTGCCCCAAACCCCAGCCTTCTAGAACTCTTTTTCTCTGTAGTCCAGTGTAGCTCTTGCTTGGAGCCTGGGTCCCCAACAGGCATCCTTGATGCCCTGGAGCAGCCCAGGACTGCAGAGAGTCTGTACACAGTCAGACATACATAGTACCTCCTGCCCAGGGCCACCCATGTTGTCTCAAGGAACCCTGAATGATCAGGTTGCCTCAGTAGAACCTTCTTGGGGGCCTTTGTGGCAGAAGTCCCAGGGTGGATCTCAGTCCCAGATAGAGCTGAAAAGGCCATTAATTCTACAAATACACAGAAAAGGTGAGGAATTTTCAAGAATCAACAGTGAGGGAGAGCCTGAGACCACGTGGAGTCAGGTTCCTTTGCAGCCCCTTGTATGTCTACATGGGAACCTATGGAGAAGCCTGGGCAGGAGAGCCATGGGCCGGGGGATCCTCCAGCCAGGACTGCTATTGGCCTTATAAATATTCAAGTTTACTGAATCCTGCAATCCATTTGATGAGCAATTCCTGCCCTGAGCCCTCTGAATGCGCCTGACTGCTGCCCTAGGGTTCCCCAAATCTCCCCACAAACCAACCACTAAAGGGGTAACCCTGAAACAGGCTAAGGTCCTCAAAGTGACAGCCAGTGTCGGTTCTTATTAGCCAATGTCCATGCCCTCCCACCATTAAAATATTTGCTTTCATTAGTTATCTACTGCTGCCTAACAGAAAATGTGATCTTAAAGAACAAAAATGGATTTTCTCACAGTTTCAGAAGACTGGAAATCTGAATTCAGGGTGTAGCTCACAAGGAGTTTCCTTCTATGTCTGTTTCAGCTTCTAGTAGCAGGCTACTCTAGGAGTTCCTGGTCTAGCAGATATATCTGCAGTGTCTGTCTCCCCCATTGTTGTTCTTGTTAAGTGCTGTCAAGTCAGTTCCTACTCATAGTGACCTTGTATAGGCTTTCCAAGGAGTGGATGGTGAGCTTCAGCCATCAACCTTGCTGTTCAAACCGACCTTGCAGTCCAGCACATTAACTGGCAGTGCCACCCAGGACTCCATCTCCCCTGCAGATGTCTCTATTCTGCTCTTTCTACAATACAGAAGTGCTTAGGTTTAGGAACCATCCTACTCTGACATGGTGTCATTAGCATAACAAAAGAAAACTATTTTCTCCTAACAGGGTCATATTTACAGGTGTAGGGGCTACATTGGAGGGGGGTGCTGGGGACACAATTCAATTCGTAAAATCAGCCTTGCCCAAAGTCCTGAGTGAGGCAGGTGGGGCAGCAATAGCCTGAGATAGCCCTTTCCTGCCACCAGGGCAGTTGTGGGGGTTTTCAGAAGGGTCTTCGATGCATAGCCAGGAGCTAGTCAACACTTGCCTCTCTCTGCTCAGGGATTGCAGCCGCCACCATCTTCAGCCCCAGCAGGGATATGGCTGTGTCCCAGAACCAGCTGCGCGTGGCCTTCGATGGGGACGCTGTGCTCTTCTCTGACGAGTCGGAGCGCATCGTCAAGGCCCACGGGCTGGACAGATTCTTTGAGCATGAGAAGACTCATGAGAACAAACCTTTGGCTCAGGTATTCCACATAGTCCCTGGAACCTCCCAGTGGAGCAAGGCAGCTCCCCAAAACTTGTCCTAGGACTCAGCCCCAGTCCAGAACCCCAGCCCAGAATCTAGCCAGGTTGTCTCACCAAGCCTCCAGCCCTCAACCTTCTCCCTGGGCCCCTGACTCCCTTCAATGAACTGCATCCCCCACTCACTGAAGCTCTCCTAAAGTCCCTAATTCTCTCTCAGAGGTCTTCTCAGAAGCGCCCACCTCTGCTTTGCAGTTCCAATTCTCTTTCTGAAGTTCCCATGACCTCTCTGAAGCCCCATCCCCATTCTGAGGCCTCTATTCTCTCCCTGAAGCCCCATCACCTCTCTGAAGCCCCCACTGGATAAAAGAACTGGATTGGCACCTCTCACTAGAGCAAGAAGACCCAGCTGGGTGGGGGTCTGCAGGACTCTCCTGTCATCTAGCCCTCATTCAGGGACTCAGAGACCCTCACTCGTCCTCAGACTGCTCAGCATCTTTCTGAAGGTAGAATAGGCCCTGGAGCTTAGTGGAAACTCCCTGGGATTAGATTTTCCAGCCTTCCTGGAAGTTACTATTTATGCTTTTAACAAAACTCTGGGTGCTCAAAAATCCCAGAGCCCCTCTCTGTCAAGAGCCCAACAGGCCCCAGGGCTTCAGTGTGGCTCTGAGTGTTTATTTCAATTGTGTTTGTTGGTTCCACCTGAGATCCTTGGGAAGCCAGGGCAGGATAATTTTCCCACAAAGTGGTGGGCAGAACCTTTACTTATTTCCAGTTGCTTTCACCGTTTTCTTCTTCATCCGGTTCTTTATTCATAAAACCTCATCAAGCTTCATTGTTCTGAGTGCAGTCCTTCACCCTAGGGGACTTGAACATGATACCTGGAGACACCCATGTGTCTGATGAGCAGGGTTGACATTTATCAGTTCATCTGTCCCAGTTGTTCACTCCCAGCTGGAGTCTGTTCTGATTGGATGACACTCATGCCATCATTGCTAATGATCTCTGATACCCTCCCTTCTGATGGGCACAGATGGCCACACTTACAGAGCTACATGGAAGACACCCATGTACCTGGTAGGCACATGGACCGATAACATAGTTACAGTTGTCCTGGGCTCCATCACAATAATACAGACACCCAGACTTACATTTGTTGTTGTTAGGTGCCATTGAGTTGGTACTGACTCATCAACCCTATGCACAACAGAACGAACTACTGCCCGGTCGGTCCCTTGCCAACCTCACTTATATAGATGTGCACCATCCCACTGATGCATGGCCTCAGAAGACAGGTTGTCATTGCCGTTTGCTGCCACCAATCATCCTGAGGATTGGTTGTAATTGCTGTGATCCATAGTTTCCATTGGCTGATTTTCAAAGGTAGATCGTCTGGCCTTTCTTCCTATTCTGTCTTAGTCTGGAAGCTCTGCTGACACCTGTTCAGCATCACAGCAACACCCAAGCCTCCACTAAGAAGTAGGTGGTGGCTCCACATGAGGTGCACTGGCCAGGAATTAAACCCAGTCTTCCTCATGGAAGATCAGAAGTCTACCACTAAATCTCCAGGTATAGGAAAACTGAAAGACTTAGGGAGTTTGAGAAGCTTGCCTACTCCAAACAAGAAGACATTAGCACTTAAGGGAGGGAAGCTAGCTGGAGCATAGGGGTGGCAAGTGGTAGGAAGAATATGGCGTTCACATGCTCCTTTGCCTTCTCATAGGGCCCCCTAAAGGGCTTCCTGGAGGCACTGGGTAGACTACAAAAGAAGTTCTACTCCAAGGGTCTAAGGCTGGAGTGCCCAATCCGCACCTACTTGGTGACAGCGCGCAGTGCAGCCAGTTCTGGTGCCAGGGCTCTCAAGACCCTGCGCAGCTGGGGCCTGGAGACGGATGAGGCACTGTTTCTGGCTGGAGCACCCAAAGGTCCCCTTCTTGAGAAGATCCGCCCACACATCTTCTTTGATGACCAGATGTTCCACGTGGCTGGGGCTCAGAAGATGGGCACAGTGGCTGCCCATGTGCCTTACGGTGTGGCACAGACACCCCGGCGGACGGCAACACCAAAGCAGTCCCCATCCACCCAATAGCTGAGCGACCACACTGAGCGACATTACTGTGGGCACAGCTTCTTATCATATCTCGGCAACCCATCCAGTGAGCCCCACTAGTTCCTCGCCACTCTGCCTGGTCTCTGTGGGTGAGGAACGGATGCAGACTGGGCTGGCATTCTCATCATCCATCCTTTGGGTCAGCACTGTGCCCTCGCTGGAAAAGTAAGACTGCAGAGTAGCTGGACTCCAGTGATGGGACTGACGGTGGGGACGTCAGAAAAGCCAAGATGCCTGCAAAGGGGCTGGCTTGTGGTGAAAACTAGTTCAGTTTGGTGCAAAGAACACTGACTGCTTTGAGAGAGAGAAAGGATCTGACTTCTGAGTTCTGTCCTGACTTTAACTGCATGACATTGAGTAAATCCCTCCCCTTCATGGACCTCAGTTTCTGCATCTTTTAGGTGGTCTTCAAACTCTTCTTTAACCAAAGCAGCTAGATTTTATAAGATTGTCCTCTCAGAAGTACACATTCTATACCTGGGTTGCTGCCAGTATGTATTGCCATATTTTGCAATTCTGCACAAATTGCAAAAGGATTTTGGTGATGGTGGTGGCGGTGGTTATGTGCCGTGGAGTTGGTTCTGATTCATAGTGACCCTGTATAGGGTTTCCAAGGCTATAAATCTTTATGGGAACAAAAAGCCTCATCTTTCTCCCTAGGCAAATTAATTACTAAAAGACCGCCCTTCTTTTGAGTTGGCCCAGACAGAGGCTAGATTTCAGTCACATGGGCAAAATGTGCAGTTATCCACAGCAACTCTATAATTTTCAATGTTTTGAACTCACTGGGCAAGATGATCTGCTTCCTATACCGTGGCCTGTGATTCTCTAATCTGGGTCTTCAGGGTCAGCTGCCTGGTGAGGATTTGTGGTAAGGAGTGAGGGGAGTGCCTTTAACATGTAGCATACAGTCCTCCAGCCAGCAGGGGGCACTGCGGGTTCCTCCTGGGGAAGAGTATCAAGCTGTCTGCTCAGTACTTTGCTTTTCCTTTGAACCAAAGTTCATTTGCATCTTCCTTTGATCAAAGTTAGTTAGTCCTTACGTTAGTCCCCACCAGTTAATATGAAGTGGATTCTAACTCATGGCAACCCCACGAGTTAGTTTTCAATGGCCTGGACTTTCTTCCTATGTGCTTCTAGGTGGACTCCAATTGCCAACTTATTGATTGGCAGCCAAGCACAGTAACCCTTTGCACCACCCAGGGACTCCATATGAGCTCCTATTCCCTACCCCCACCTCCCACCTCCCACCAACTATTGTGGTATTTCATCCTGTGTTGCTAAGCAGCTCTGCCAATGGGGAAAGAAGCAATGAGTATTTGAGTCTACTGCTGTGGCCCCAAATGCAAGGGGAGAAAGTTCAGTAGCTGAAATGGGTAAGGTCCTGCTTGGTTAGGGTGGGGGGTGAGGGAAGGAAGTCTTGTCTGAGACAAAAGATTCAGAGACAAGAAGCTAGACAAGAAGGAACTGATATGTGTGCTAGCATAATTCTCCAACAATGGATTTGTGTGAGGAAGGCCAGGCAGAGCTGCCACTGGAAGTAATGAGCTCTACGTCACTCGGCTGCTGTGGAAGTGATTCCAGGGTGAGGTGACCTCCCCCTAGAAACACATGAGGAACCTTCACATCACAGAGTCCCAGCAGCCCCCTGCAGCACTTCGTCCCCACTTCCGGGGTGAACGCTCATTCCTTGATGGATCAACTTACTCTTTTGTTGACCAGCCCCGGCTCTCTTGGAAGGGAAGGCAGAAACTCCAATGGCTGGACTCCCAAGAAGACCAAAAAAAAAGGGTGACAGACGTCTGAGTGTGGAATTGATTGTCCAGCTCCGGGGCCAGATCCTACCTGTAAACAAGCACTTGGTGACGGAGCCTGGAGGAGTATGGACGAGAACTGGGAACAAGAGCTCTGAGCAGGCTGGGGCAGGATAGTAGTTACAGAAAGTTGGTCCAGGAAGGAGAAAGAAATGTGCAGACAGACAGATAGTTCTCAAAATGAGCAACAGTTGGGTCAGAAGAGAGGTACTGGGCTGGACTCTCACTACTCAAGTTGGAGGCTTCCTGGGTATGAAGGGAAGGCTGTGCTGGGTGGTTGGGAATATCCAGCATTCTTGCACCCAAGAGGACATGCTATGAAGATGTATTTGCACAAGGTCATTTCCATCCCACAGCCAGACTCCTTCTGGCCATCAGAGGAGACCTCAGAGAGCGAGGGCTTGCTGAAATGTCAGTGTTCCACACCAGCTAGAGATACTCTGAGACCTATGAAAAGCTTCAAAAAAATGAGAGGAGAGGCTCAGCTTCAGAGTCAACTGTGATCTTGGCTGAACCCCAACAAGGCTGGAATCACCCCCTCGGATGAACCTCCAGGGCTCACAGACTTGGTGACCATAAGAAACCTGCAAGTCTGGGCAGAGCCAAGTCTCACAGAATGGCCTTAGGCCACATCAGCAGGGTGTCCATGTGTAGTGTAAGGGTAGACCAGACAGCACCTAATTAAGATAAGTCCAGGGACTGTGGGACCCATGAGCATCATGATGAACACTCTCAGAAAACAGAATAGGAGGATTCTGGGAGCAGTGAGATAAGGTCCAATAAAGGTCTGGGTTTCAGTGGAGTATCCTTAATAGACACGGACAGCCCTGGGCAGGGAAGAGACATTAAGAGTCCAAATTCTATTACAAAAACCATAAATGAGCATCTCGTCTGGAAAAAACACTTTCAGGGGCTAGAATAAAAGGCCAGAAGGCCTGGGGAGGCTGTCTTAGGCAGCAGCTAGATAAACCTTCAAATGGTTTCAAGTGTTGAGAAGAGCCCTGTAGTGATAAGCATTGCTTATTGTATTGTTGTTGTTTAACTGCCATCAAGTTGGTTTCAACTCATAGCGACCCTGTATAGGATTTCTGATGAGCAGCTAGTGGGTTTGAACCACTAAGCCACTGACCTTGTGGTTCACAGTCCAGTGTTTATTCTACAGGCAAATGTAAACAACAGGTGAACACTAAATCTCCAGATTCAGTTGTAGGCTGCAGTGCAGAGAAAGGACAACCAAAGCTCCTGAAATGCTGAGCCCCTTTAGTCCAAACTAAAGCACTGCTTCTCCAGCAAGTCCTACAGAAGCCTGGGCCCTGGAAACATCAACAAAGCCCTAGACCCAGTGGGAACTGCCATTTAGCAGAGAAACAGAAGTCCTGTTGCTAAGCACTGAGATTGCTAAGATCATTACAGAACAGCCCCCTCCTCTTTCTGAGAGCCCAGGATACTGATGGCAAGGATGCAGTGCAATAAGCCAGAAGAAACTGAAACCAGCAAGAAGTTCAAGTCCAAGATGGATGTGGCATAACAATGAGTTGTTATTGTTGTTAGGTGCCCTAAAGTTGGTTCTGATTCACAGTGACCTATTTATAACAAAACAAAATGTTGCCTGGTCCTCCGCCATCCTCACAACCGTTGCTAAGTGTGAGCCCACTGTTGGAGTCACTATTGAATTCATCTCCCCCTATTTTTCATGAACCCTCTACTTTACCAAGCATAAGGTCCCTGTCCAGCAATTGGTCCCTCTTGATGATGTGTCCAGAGTGAGATGAAAACTGGCCAATGAGCATTCAGATTAGACTTTTTTCCAAGACAAATTTGTTTGTTTTTCTGACCATTCACGGCATACTCAGTATTCTTCACCAACATCACCATTTTAATAGGTTAATCCTTCTTTGTTCTGTCTCATTGTTCAGCTTTTGTATGCATATACTATGATTGGCTGGAGTCAGGCACACCTTAACCGTCAAAGTGACATCTTTGATTTTTTTTTTAATGTTTTATTGTGAATTATATGATTGTTTACATGGGAGAACATTAGTTTTACATTAATTCTATCGTATATAGTTTCATTGCCATGGTTACAAAACCAAAGGTTATACCCTGCAAGCCTGCCCCCTACGGTCCCCGGCATCTTTGATTTTTAACACTTAGATTTGCCCAATGCAATTTGTAGTCTGATTTCAACACAATATGTAGCTTGATATCTTGACTGTGGCTCTATGGGAATGAATTGTTAATTCAGGAAAAATGAAATCTTTGAAAGCTTCAGTTTCTTCACCAATAATAATGAGAAATAGGGTTAATGTTCAATTCTTATGCAGCAGTACAGTTGGTAAGTATTACAAATAAATGAAGCCCACTAAGTGCCCCTTCATGGCCCCAACTGCGCTGGCCTTTCAACTGTGAGCCCTCCATCTTCCCACAAACTTGCAAAAGAGCCCTCTTAGAGCCTGCCCCAGCCAGCACTGTCGCCAGTGTTCACTATTTTCAGGCACTCTGACCATGCTGATTGAAAGACATAAAATCATGTGCCCAAAGTTATAGCACTGGTAAGTAGTAGTGACAAGATTCAAACTCACATCTCTCTGATGTCCAGAGCCAGGCTCTTAACCATTGAGCCACATTACCTAGACATATCCATAAAATTGACAAGAGATGCTTCATTCTAAGTTTTCACCAAAGACGCCAACCTGACAGTGTCAGCTAACATGTTGACCTTCTGCATGGTGATAATGTGATCATACATTTGAGAAGGCCTATTTTTACAACCTGTGATATGCAGATAATACAACCTTGCTTGCTGAAAGAGAAGAGGACTTAAAATACTTACTGATGAAGGTCAAAGACCACAGCCTTTGGTGTGGGTTGCACCATGTAAAGAAAACAGAAATCCTCACCATTGGACCAACAAACAACATTCTTATCAATGGAGAAAAGATTGAAGTTGTCAAAGACTTCATTTTGCTTGGATCAACCATCAACACTCATGGAAGCAGCAGTCAAGAAATCAAACAATGTATAGCATTAGGCAAATGTGCTGCACCAGACCTCTTTAAAGTGTTCAAGAGCAAAGATGTCAGTTTGAGGACTAAGGTGTGCCTGACCCAAACCATGATATTTTCAATAACCTCATTTGCATGTGAAAGTTGGACATTGAATAAG